GAGATAACGTGCGACAATATTCTAATAATTATGAGGACGTTGTAGCTAAATATTAAGATCCAATTTGTCTTAAATTATATGATACTGTAAATACATTTACAATGAAAGTTACAATTGATATAATAAAGTTGATAGAGAGATTTAAGGTCAAACTCGGATCAAATAGTTTTCGGGTAGTATTTATAATAGATTATCGTGAGAAATTGCTCTTTTTACCAAATATATGTTCGTCAATTTGGCCTCCTGACCGTTCGTCTTGTCACTTCATCTTGTTCAAACTCTGATGTTTGAATTATGACATAGCAAAAATATATCACAATGCGTTTCATTACTATAATATTTACACTCTAAATGTACATAAAAATAGCAGAGGATTCATCAATATGCTCGTTGCGAAATAATACTTTTCCTTTCTAAAAATATTTAAAACTTTCAAGTCACTTTTAAATTTTGACAGTGAATATGCACACAAGTTAATGAATATATTTAGGTCATATTCGAAACTATGACGAATTAAAGCAAGATAAATGAGCAAGGCGGTTAATCATGTTATAAAAGTAAACAATTTCTACGTATTCTCTCACATATTTGCACATATTTTGTGCCAAGCCTCTCGTATAATTTAATATGATGTATTGAAAAACCTTTTAAAACCCAGTCACATCGCGTGTAAATTTTAAAATAATTATGGATAATTATTATTTACGTTTCTACGTAAGTCCCATATGCAACTTTGTCTCGTAAATTTTATTTTCAACTTTAACAGGGCATGTGCGGAATATATTATGAAATTTGTATGATTTTAGAAAAAACATGTGTACATGAGAAGGAAGATTAAACTCAGGTCAGCGGCATGACAGTGCGGAATTTCAAACCCAAATAGTTTATTAAATAACAGATGAAAAATGACAGTCATATACTGCGATTATTACGTATCATACAGTGTTATTGGGGGTTTTAAATTCCATTGTCAAATTTCAAACTTCAATATTATCTTTCAGTAAATAAACCTTGCGTGAAAGGAGTCTATATTTGTATTATATTAAATGATCTTTACGTGTAAATTGTGTAAATTCTGCGGGTATTTAAGGGCTTTCAACGAGTGTTGTGTGTGAAGTGGGTGGTAGAAAGAGGGAGGTTAACAGTAGCAATGCACTCGAACATTGCACAGTCCTGGGTTCAAGTCTCTGGCATTCATGACAAATTTGCAATGAATTTTGTTTGATCTACCATCTCGAAATATAATTTTTTATTATGGTTGACATACCAATAGGCTAAAAGCAAATGGATAACATAAATGAGTTATGCTTAACCATTAATAACAAAAACTTAACAAACTCGTGGTTTAATTGCCGTATGTCAGTTATTTTTGTGTAACTGTTGTTTGTTTTAAATCGTTTCTATTCTTTTTTCATATACGACAGACTCTTGTTTTTCTAGTAAACGAATAGGTTTTATTAACCAAAACATTGTGCTAGACACATACGTTTATTTAACGAGTGTTTTTTGTGTACACAGTGAATTATTAAGTATACCTTTCAGTTATTAATTACACGCTTTTTGACGTCATGATTTATGGTTTCTTATCAACGTCATTCTCGTGAAGAATCCCGTCGTGTATATACACTGATGCCACAATTATAACATCCGGAAAAATGGTAGATTCATAAAGGGCAATGATAACAAAGTTTAAATATTAAAAATTGCAAAGTCTGTTTTTGTTTGAGTCAGTTTGTGATAGTTAATGGAAAGTGAAACATCTTTCACACCCCCCTAGCACCGGCTGGTCACCCTTCATTACAACTTATATCTGTTGGTAGTTAACTTTTGGTATATTGATATTGAAATCCTTTAAAATACGAATGGAAAGCCCTGCAAGAAAATTACACTAATTCAGTATACGATTTTTTAACATATGACTGTCGAAGAATTTCTTTACGAATGACACGCAAATTCATTCAGATGAACAAATTCCAAGCTCATATCATTCTGACGTAATTTGATATTGGCCTAGACAACTATAATCTCCGTTATAACGTAACGAGGCTGACTGATGAACATTTATAACAAGGGGTCTCATTTGCTCAAGCTCATAACTGACAGTAAAAATCCTGTTATAGCAAATAAAGTCAAAATGGATGAGGTAATATAGTTACAATATGTCATCATATGTCCTGTTTTGTATAATCGTATTACATTTAAAGTCAAAGGGCATTGATAGATAGTCATATTTTTTCTCTCTCAATTGTCTGACTCGTGATCTCTGAAATTTATTTTTTGACAGGTTCGTACAGTGGCACTTGTATTTGATGAGGGCTTTAAATAACTTCTTAAAATGATAATAATAGTTCATTCCATTTTGTGTTAGACGACTGTAAAAATAAAAGTCATGATTTTTAAATTCCTTATGTTGTTATTGTGAAATAAATTTAGAATATGCTCGAAGAAGACACTAAGTATATGTTAGTGCTCAACAAAGCTCGTTTAATCGACCTATTCAGTTTTGCAAATGCTTGCTACTTTAGCATTTGAAACAGTCGATATACTAGATTGATTCAACAAAACCGATTTACAAAAAGTAAATATGTCACGATTCTTTTGCATTACTATAATCCTAGTGGACAGAATTAAGTAACTTTAGAGGCAGTTTCGTTTAAAAGACATGTTCTTCCCGTTTTATGTCGTCTGCTGTAAAATACTGATTTTCATAAAAATGAAAAAAAAATATATAATTTCCGAAAGTAATATAATCTCGTGACACGATTTGCTTCGTTTGTTTGACAGGTTTTATCAATGAAAAAAAAAACTGAGCCACTTAAAACCTTACATTATAATAATGAACATTTTACCGGCATTAATGGCGAAATGTTTCATTTCAATCAAGTAAACACTCGTTATAAATCAAGATTAATCAAGTTTTACCGAATGCAATGAAGTTGATAAGATTTTTGTTTTGGCTCATTTAACAGTTTTATAGATATTTTTAAGAGGGAATATATTATAAATCTTATGCTGTGAAAGGGTTCTATTTTGTAGGTAGGGATCTATTTTATGATATTAAGGCTCTTATCAATGCTCAAGAATGTGACCCTACTTTTTACATAACACTTTTTTGCTGTTTTCTAAACATTATTTTGAAATAATAATTAAAAAAAATCTACGAACTTGTCGAAAGTATATCTAAATATATCTTCTAAGTTAAAGCCAGTTATAACTTAAAACATTAACAGTTGGTATGCCAATTCCATTAAGGTCTACTCCTCGGTGCCTTTTGGGTGTCCTAGCGGTGTGGCTGGATTGTGTCGGGGGCTGCGTTCTGTGAATGTCCCATTGCCTTGTTGATCTTTGTTCTCATTTTTTTGTCTCATAAGAATAATTCATTCAATGCTTCAACTCAGACTGAGTTAAGTATGCAATATTTAAAAAGTCCGCGCTAAAAAAATACATGTTAATATGTCAATATAATATTCTACTTATTTGTTAATATATCTCTACTTAATACTTCGGACAATCCTGAATTCCAACGGCTCCAAAATCAAACGACCGAAAAATAAACAAGTTTAAGTAAAATAAACATAACGAATAGGTTCGAATTGATAATAAATCCTTTTATTTGTGTAAAATAAATCGACAACATTCTGTTAGCCAGATTGTCCATTTGATATGGAATGAGAATTTATTTGTACGCTTGATAGCTAAGACAAAAATGGTCAATACATATCGTGAATAGTGTTCGTAAATGGCATAATATGTGTTGTTGTTTTTTTTTCTCCCCAGCAATCTTTTTTATGTTATTAGTAATTTCTTTGTCTTGTCCTCATTTAACTGCTATTGATGAACAATTTCTGAAAGTGGAGCATAAATCTCATGTCTAAAAAGCAATTCTGTGAGGGAAATTTTTGAATTGTACTTACAAAAAAGTACACCACAAATCGCACTCTGCTAGCAAGGTCTTACTTTTTCTTCCTAACGATATGTTTAGTGTTTTTCCCGCTTTTATTACTTCATTATATTTGTAACACATGGCATAACGCGCTGATTTCCTGTCGTCTGCTAATTTCGGAACAGTCATGAAATATTTTGTATCAAATTTGATCAAAATTAAGTTAATATCGGACCAATTCTAGTGCTTGTTTAAATTAGGAAAGAAAATTATCCGGCGTCTCGCACCTGTTGTATTGAACCGCCGTGGTCAACAATGTAAATTTAATAGAATTACCTACTTTAGGGATAAAGACATGTTCTACAAGTGGTCGTAATTATGTATACAACAATGGACAGTGGTGTGATACACTTGAAATTTCACGTCGAGAAGTACTTGTCTGACCGCCTGATTACCCTATACACTAGTATTATAAAATTCTCAACAACGTGAAGTTTTTGGAAGATTATATTATAGTGTTTTTTATCAAAACATAATCTGATCTACTCCTAGTATGATTTGTATTAAAAACACATAATCCACTTTTATATTCTTTAAATGTTTGTTAACCGCCACTTTTCAAAACCCAACCAACAAAAATATGCCAATAGTTGTAACATAGAATTTATATATTACAAAACTTTGTGCCATGTTCAATGACAAGTGTCTCAAGGAAAGAGCAGATCCGCCGATAGCATTGATGAATAAAAAAGTACACATACCTGGTTTTAGTTGATAATGGAAAGAGAGATAATGAAAAAATATACCTCATGCCCCCCCCCCCAGCACCGCTTATAATCAGCATTCAACACAACACTAAAAGTTTTCATATCGATGCTTTCGAAGGGCAATACATTTTTTCTAGAACAAATGTTTGAATTTGTTATTTTATTATCAAGCAACACGTGGTAACTTGACATATGTAAATCTGCCTGTAACCAATGTTGTTTTAAAAATATCAACAACTACAGTTCATGATATTTCTTAACTATATAATGTCAAATAATGCATGTATTATGGTCTAAAAGAGATGTGCTAGGTAACACGTTAGTTATGGTTTTCATCTCTTTTTTTTCAGGTGTGGGGAATTCCAAGAATAACGCTAGACGATGATGCTCAAGTGTTGTGTAAAGTAAGTTTCAACAAGTTACATTGATTTGCAATAACATTTTTTATGAAATTAAATTAAACATTGTTTGATTAAAATTTTGAAAACTAAAACTTTTCTTTCAAAATATTTCTTTAAAATATATCCGCGAATGATTTAGAACAATTTGTAATAAAATCCTTAATTTTCAAACTTCATAAAGATACAAAACTATCTTACATAGGTAATAGAATAAGTGTTTAGTTAACTGCAATAGAAAAATAGAAATGCTTATTATATTTTGAATTGATAGCTAAATAAGTTTTTGTTTCTTTCAGAAATATAAAATGATGTGTAAAACTGACAAAATATGTGCCGTTCAACACTTTGATTGGCCTAATAATATCACCATTCCAGTGTGTATACCACTTTCATTCGTCCCAGGTATGTATATATAGTCTACGTTACGTTATCTTACACGTTGCCTAGTGTGCAAAATGACCTGCGTAACAACATATCAAAATCTCTTATTGTACATAGACGTATTAATCAGTTTAACTATTTTAATTGTATCCTCGAAACATCTTACCTTTAGTTTATCAAAGAGTGATAGTTAATAAAATTATTTTCCAACAAAACAACCGTTACGCACGTAACTTAGTTATTAAAATCATTTTCCAACAAAACAACCGTTACGCCCGTTACTTGTTTATGTTTATATAAGCTTCACCCGTATAAATTTATGTTTTAACGCTTCGCTTTTTATCATTTGTTAGTTTTATTTTGCTTAAAGAGAATAATTAGAAATGTGTAAGTTCGAAGTTAATAAGAACTCTTGAAGAAGTTTTTGTATAAAATTCATATATTAAAATTTATTAAGGTCTATTGATAAATATTAAAGATTAGGCGTAGAGAATCAGAACTATATCTTAAGGTGATGGTGCATTTTGGTAGTAACATATTAATGAGAAGAGCCAATGTAATTATATATACGCATTTCCCCCCTAGAATACATATATCCCAAGAAATATTTAGAATTTCTTAATTTGAATTACATGCCAAAGTATACAAAAATATTTAGTAAATAATATATTTATGTTGTTTTCCCCATTTGATTTATAGTGTATTTCTTTCTAGAAAACCCGCTCAATTTGGCCATTTTTAACTTCTGGATAGATGTACCGAAATAGCAATTTGAAATCTAATGATTTTACACTGATTTTTTTTCAATTATTCTTCTGATAAAATTTAATTGAATTATGATAAGAACCCATATGTTTTCCATTATAAAATATTTAGTACGTTTTTCGGAAACGTAGTGTATATATGAGCCGTGTCACGACAAAACCAACGTAATGCATTTGCGACCAGCACCTGCGCATCCGCGCAGTCTGATCAGGATCCATGCTGTTCGCTATCAGTTTCTCTACTTGTAATAGAGTTGGTAAGCGAACAGCATGGATCCTGATCAGACTGCGCGGATGCGCAGGCTGGTCTGGATCCATGCTGGTCGCAAACCCATTATGTTGGTTTTGTCATAGCGCGGCTCATATGTATGTCTTTGTGTGTTATAAAAATCAGTACCGCTCATTTAAAAACTCATAATTCATATGACACGAAATTTACGTGCAGATGAAACATTCAACGTGAACTTTTTAATTAAGGCTGGCCTATCAGGAACATTAATCTCTCATTCTTAATGGGAAAACAATTTTTTGAAGTTTGCATTTCCTCCTTTACCTTTGTGAATATACAATTACCATGGAAAACGGAAGCCTCTTTCAATACATGGTCAGATATATTTCTGCATTCTTTTTATGAATATAAATCATGTTTCAGAAAACATAAAGATTATTTTAATAACATTATATTGCTTTTATTGCCGAAATAATGTTATATTTAATAATGAATACACGGCAATATCTTCTATGACACGTTTTAATAACTATTCAACGAACGATAAAAAGGAATACCATATTCATATAGAATGTAAAACTTGACATTGAAATATTTTGACACTGAGGCAGTCGCAAGCTGGTTTTTTCGCAATAAAACGAAATAAAAAAATAGCTGAAATAGACGTCTCCCACGCATTTAAGTTGTATGCAACTGAAGTGCAATTTATGGAAATAAGTATACATGCATAGTTAACAGGACAACTTATTTGAATTTTAATATGATTGATCGAAATTTGCCTGTACTTTATTTATGTTTTTAATTAATTCTATTTTTGTTTCAATGTTTTCTTACGCTTCACCGGACAATTAATATATATTTATTTCTTTCACCAAGTTTTTGTCCTGCTCATGTTTATGTTATTATATATGTGTTTAGTTATTTTTTTGTTTTTGTTTTATTTTAGCTGAATATTCACATATCGGTGAGTTCAAAGCGCACAAGCAAAAATACGTTAGTTTTTAAATGGCTGATTTATATTTGATTATTACACCAGTGGCATACTGTACGCTTTCTTACTATATGTATTATTGTTTGTAGCCAGATGCTGAAGCAAAGCAAATGTATGTTTTCCCTCGCTTTTTATTGCTTGGTGTACGCTGCTCGAGTATTGAATGCACGTGTATTTGGCCTGCTTATGTTTTCATCGCATATAGTATTCTCATTTTCCATGACATCCATCAAATGTACTTTAATATTTTATTGTTTTAATGCAAGCCTAGAAGCCTAGAAGTCTAGAAGTCCGTCGTCTACAAATTATTTTTTGCGTAAAACAAAAATAAAATTTAACAACTGAAAGAATTTAGGTCAGCTAAAATTTGGACAAAAAATAGTGTAATGGAAATACACGTACTATAAAATGTAATGACTGAGTATTTTCGGATCCTCTTGCTTTCTTATTTTTTGCAATATTTTTTTTTTTTCAATATTGCCTCAGAATTTATATTTGTAAATGCAAGCAATTACAATAACAACACATGTCAGCACAAAAGTCATGAGACAATAAAGTATGTTTTTTTTTTCTTCATGACGTAAATGTAGTTTGTTTGTTATGACATAATAATACTGTATGTGTGACGTTAATGTAAGTTTAATGTTAAAAAACAACATTGCTGATGGATTAACGTAGATTGTTTAAGAATTTAAAGCGAGATTAACACACAAACGTTCCTTTATAGTCTTTACGTTATGTCACGTATGTTACAGATTTCAATCTATATTACGTTACCTAGTACACATAATTGATAACCCCAATTAACGCATCGACAATGATGGTGGAGTAACTGTCAGTAACGTACATACTTCCCGCTCTTCTCAGTCAGTTCTAGCACGAGATACACGAGATCAAGACATATTTAAGCAAACAAATATTTTGTTTTTATCATCGCCAGGCAAGTTTACGGCGCATACAACAACATTACGGAGATTGTGCTGATTACAGTGCTAATAAAATGCGATGTCAGATAATTCTCGTTCTGATAATGAATTAATGTTTCTCGAAGAAACTGTTTCTTGGTGTGAAAAATTTTGCTTAAATGAATAAAATATTGCAACAAGATGTTCCGTTATGTCTAAATGTTACACATTGAAGCCCCCATTATCTTAGGGCTGGGAAAGTAAGATCAATCTTATAGTGACACATTTAAAATAAATTTACGATTTGCGGTACATAAATAACGATATTATCTACATAGAATATAATGTTAAATCATCGCACTTCGTGTGAGGGTATCATATATTTAGTCATCTCTTTTTATATAATTGCCAGAAATGAAATTTTATAAATCTTGAATCGGAACATCGTTGAAAATAAATGGCTTTGAATTTGAATCTTACATAACTGAATTCGTATGATTGAAACTTGATTAAATCTATAAATTGCAAAAATCACGCGAATCTAGCATTTTATTGGTGGATTTATGACAAGAAAATTTCCATTCGACCAATGAGTTTTATTACAATATTTGACCTCGTTTTTTACAACATATCTCATCTGTCTCATTGTCCTGTAGCGTTGTCCAGTATGCTTTGTGTTTTGAAGTGTATTTTATATAATTATATATGTTTGATACAATTATTTTTCAAATCAATACAATACAACCATAGTACTCAAACAAGAATATCCACTTCCTAAGTATTTGTTTATGAGAACATATGAACTTGTTATATGTTATATAATGTAAAATATCAAAAGCACAGTAAATGCACAACTTCAGTGTTTTTAATGTAAAAATACGGTAACAATACGAGTATCTATAAAACGTATTTCATAAATATAATTTGGCGTAGAGGGCTTTTTAATATCATATGTGAAATAAAAATGCAAATACATGTAGATTATTTGCTAACCCAAAATATGCTTTCCCAAACCTTACATAATGGTATAAATCATTCGTGAAATGTGTTAAAAAATGTATTGAATTTATGGTATTTTAATCACAATTTGATTTGTTTTATTTAATCAGACGCAAAATTTTAATCCTTAATCTTTAAATCTTAAGACTTTGTTAATCGCAGGATAAGAAAGACTTCTAAATCTGTCCAAAGACATTTCGATTTTGTCAAATGAACTGTGCATATAATCTGGTAGTATTCCAAATATTTGTTGAAAAAAATGTTGGGAACTAATTCAAAGATAAATTATATAAGAATGAAAGAACGTATGGTCAGACATGTAAAACAAATGAAAGTACGTTTTGTCAAAAATATGGTCAAACATGCAAATCTATTTTTACTACTTTTAAAGCCTAAATTTCGGAACAGATTCAAGTTTCTTGACTTTTATTCAGTCCCTTTGACGAAAAAACGTCAACCATTATAATAACAAAATTTGTAAGGAAAATAAACCTAGTAAAATCTAACAACCTCAAACTTGATATGTTCCCAAACTGCGTTGATGCTCTCACGGGTCTTGCTGCTATGCTGTTACAATGGCCAGTTGTCATATCAGTCTAGTGTATGATAAAGATAGTTTAATAATTATTTCCAAAGAAAATGAAATAGAAAAAAAGCAAAATAAAATAAAATTTGCCAAGTGATATCTTCGGATTATGTGTTGCAGTGTGCAAAGTGATTTACTAAAAAGTCTTAAATAGATAACTGCAAAACGTTTTCAAAATATGCTAATGTACTGTACAAGAGTAAAAATGATACGTTTATCTGATACCTGATCTGGAGGGTCGGGCTGGTACAGTCTGTTATTACACTCAGACACGCAATAGAAGTGACCTTACTGTTGAAACAGACGACATATCGGGACATACTTCCATATCACGACTTTCGGCGTAATAATTTAATTTCCTTAAGGTTTACTTTACATTTAAACCATGTTTAAATGTTGAGAAATTGTAAAAGATGTTTCAATAAGTTTAGATTGTGAAGAGAATGATCCATTCTGAAAGATACATGATATATATCTGCTGTTTTGTCTCGTTTCAGTCCGCAACAGAATCTGCCAACAACCGCCTGCAACTGGAAGATGCCATGCGCGTTATATTCGTTGGTATTATAATATTCACGCACAAGAATGCAGTCATTTTCAATATGGCGGCTGTGAGGGCAACGGTAATAATTTTATGAGCAAGCGAGACTGCGAGCAAACATGTATAGCCACGCCTACGATTCGACTTTACGAAGGCGGCGAAAGTCTACTTCAGCCATCTGTCATAACAGCGCCGATATACGAACCGCAAAAAACCAAACAATACGAGGCATTGAACTCTGTTCTGGAACCTTCGGGTAATTATGATAGGTATGAGTTACAAAGACACAGAACTAATAGAATCCGAGCAGATGAGGCTGCGACCAGAACGAGACGACGACTTGACAAGGAAAAAGAAAAGGAAAGAAAGCGGCGTGAACGAAGGAAGGAAAAGAAGAGGTTGAGAAAATTGCAAAAGAAGGAGCAGAGGAAACTTAGATGTAAGAAAAGGCGCGAGCGAGGAAAGAGATGTAAAAATGATAAAAAAGATAGAAAGGGAAGAAAAAATAAGAAAAAGAAGATGACTGATAAAATAGATGATGACAATGATGTGTCGTCAGACAAAAACACTGACGTTACAGGAAAAACAAATCAGGTTGTAGAAGAAACTAAAAATTTGATAACTAGCGAAATAGAAGCGGTAGAAGATAAAGAAGAAAAAGATGTTAAAGAAACAAAACGAGAGAAAAGAAGACGGAAACGGAAGTTGAAGGAAAAGCGTCGGCTGGAAAAGGAAAGAAATCGGCGGAATTTAAGCAGTAGGAGTCAGCAAAGATATTCTGAACTTAATAAAAAATCAGAATCTTATTCTGCAAAACTGTTCTCTATATTAGATCAGGGTAGAAACGGATACAAACATCAGAAAAATAGTTTGCTTCATACGCTTTCATGAGTATGTCAAAACATTTCGGTTGATTAATTAATTAATTATATATTTAATTAGTTATTTATCTTGATAAAAAGCACTGACTCCAAAGTTTGAGGAGCTAAAATCTTCAAAACTTTTTTTGAATACATGTCAGATGTATCGATACAAAATGTAATGAATAACGTGTTTACTTTGATATATGATTTTATAATGATAGTAATAACACTGCGGCTGAAATCTTACTGGTGTAAAATAAGGGAGACCGCTTTCACCCCTTTTATTTTCGTACGAAAAAAATCATCCAGATATTGTCGCATAAGATATAAAATACCTTTGAAAGAATTTGTTGACATTTGTGTTAATGACGTTGTATACCACGGGTAAGTTAAAAAGTGAAAAAAAGATTAAATGTTTTGGAAGAAAATATGGAGAAAAGTTGGTTTTATATGTTTAAAACAATGGCAATCCCCATGAAAAAAGGGACTTACTTACACTAATTTGTCTTTCGAACAAATGGAAGTCCTCAGTTTTTGATGAACAAAAAGCTTAACAGCTCCGATTGTATCACATATGGATGAACAGTGACGTGTTAATGCATTGTTACCGAGGACAGACATTCATTAGTGGGACACGTGTTTAAAGGACATGCGTCAGAGATCACGTGGCTGAAGCACACGTGGTGACAATTACATTGAAAGATGCAAGTAGATATAAACATTTATAGATTGTCGTATATTCTAAAATGAATTGTTATGAATCCATATCATACATAGGTCAGTACGGTATGTAAATTACCGAACAAAAATACACATTTTGAAGTTGTAGAATATACCTTTGTTCTACTAGTATATGTTAACTTTTATAAAGTGTATGTATAAATTGAAATCACGTTGATGTATAAAGAACGTGCGTATATGTTAGTTTGTTTAAAGTGGGTAGGTCTACAATGAGCACAGTTTCCATTAGTATATCAAATATTGATAAAAAATAGAAATGTATCTTTTCGGTTTTCTTATAAAATGCTGCTTACAAAAAAGTTGATAAAGTTTTCAGTGATTTAGATTGACCATTTATGTGATGAATAATTATATTTTATAACACTTTATCATCTGCTATATAAATATATGTACTATTTGATAATGTATTTCAAACTTGCCAACAACCTCCATGTATAATTCTTTAGTGGTTATTATGCGTATTACTAAATACTATCAACGAAATTATTAATTTTTTACAGACCTTCCATTATAGACCAAATCACTTTAAAGCTTTAATTTAAAAAATAGTGCAAAAACGAGTATGAATATGATACTTTTGATTGCATTAAAAAGCAAAAAAGAAAGAATATCTCAAATATTTGTACGTTTACGATACATTAGAACTGGAACGTGAAAATTATTATTTGTATGTGTAATTTAAACATGATTTGAGCCGCGTGACGACAAAACCAACATAATGGGTTTGCGACACTTTTAAAGGACTTAAAGTTTTGATCAGTCTGATCAGGATCCATGCTGTTCGCTATCAGTTCCTCTACTTGTAAAAGAATTGGTAAGCGAACAGCATGGATCCTGATCAGACTGCGCGGATGCGCTGGCTGGTCTGGATCCATGCTGGTCGCAAACCCTTTATCTTGGTTTTGTCGTGACGCGGCTCATTTATATGTGTAATTTAAACATGATTTGGTGTAAATATGACAATTTCCTTTAGCTACTCGTGTACGTTTATTTATATATAAGTAGTCATACTGTAAATAATTAACCATATAAACATGTGATTCTATCATATATATGTTTTTGATACATATGTATTCATTTGTGAACTGTTGAAATAAACAAGTCACGCATAAAGGTTTAATGCAACGATTATAAAGGTCATGACAACTAAAACACAAAACATAATTTTGTAGGAAAATAACATTTTTACAGATACTGTATTTATAGCAAGACCGTATTACTTATGAATGTTCCTTCTTAGATGCGCATGAACATATTAGAGCTCAGTTGTGTAAAATTGTAATAAAGCAAACCGTTTTTTTTTCTGCAAAAGATGCTACCTTGACAGTTGTGCTTTTGAAAATATCCATCCTAAATCAAAACTGATTTTATGCGGTAACGTCTAAATGGCTACACAAATTAACAAACGTTCAAACTTGAAATAATCAATACCATTCTTGTCATTTCTCAACTTTTTTATTTATTTATTTTTACTAGTTTGTTAATTTTCGGTACCATTTACACATGCTTTTGCATGTTCATTCAGGACATTTTTTCTAAATGCAACAAATTTAATTATATTATCGATAACATGAACAACTTTTCCTCAGCTGTAGAAATAATCTTGTTAAAATCAAGAAAAATACCCTAAATTAACATAATTAGTGACATATTTCTATTAATTATGTTATTTGATTATAGATGAATGACTCTCTTTAAATTATTTTAAAGAAAAATTAAAGGTCTAAATTTCGAGAATATGTTGTTATTTATGTTAAACGTAATCCTCTGTTTAAACTACATAATATACAATATTATAGTTTCGAACGTTTATATGCAACACAATATTAACGTTCTAGATTTTTTATTCTTATCATAACTGCGTTTTGTTCAGAGTTTTATTGTTTGTTATAATGTGTAGATTTTCATATTTTGTCATTATTTCTGTAAATTATCAATAAAATCATTGTTACCATGGCAACGTTGTTTCAATTATTTAACCGTTTAATCTTTTGTTTTAACCGCAAATTTTAATTATTCCTGGTAATTGTGTCTATAATATCGAAATGCTATCAGGAGTAATGTATATCATCTGCAAAATAATGAGAATGATTATACAGAAGATGATGTTTTCCTGGTGATGATGATGATGATGATGATGATGATGATGGTGATGATGACGACGATGATGATGATAATGATGATAATAATTTTGCTGAGTATAATAATATTTATTGTAATGACAATGGTGATGGAAAGAAAATAAGATAATGATGATGATAGTGATGGTGAAGATGATGAAAACATAAGATGATAAGAATGATGATGATGTTGATGTTGCTGCTGCTGCTGATGATGATGATGGTGGTGCAATGCTTATTGTACTGATATTACGGAATAATAAAATTGATTCCATCATTGCCTTAGATTGGAGAAATGATTTAATAAAGAAGTTTTAGTTTATCAAGGTTTGCTAATGGAAAATTAATCATGGATTGTTGAGTAATATTGATGCATGATCTAGGTAAAGAGTCAACCTGGATTTTACTTACGATGCCTGACATCTAGATTAATCTCGCTATGCTCCTTGCAATTACGATGAAGGAGTTTGTTTATTTTTAGATTTTATAAACTAACATAACTGGGGGATTTATTAAAGTTTATAATAAGTAAATTATCCATTTGGCAGATACGCTGATCAGACGGACTGGCACCTAACAACCTGGTCTTGAGCCACACACGTTTATTAACTTTTTGCATTTTGTTAGTGATCCTTGTAACTTACACAGCTGTCAGATATATACGATAAATATCTACTCACCCCTTAAAACATTATCTGGCATCAGATTTGATATGTTTTACGAGGAGAGAAACAAAAGTGTACAATTCTCTGGCCGCTCGCTGTTATCTGAAATATGTTTCAAAGGGCCTGTGAGTTTTGAGTATATTCTTCCAAAATTAAGGAGTATTTCTAATCCTAAAATTGACACGTAGAAAAAAAATCGAATGATACTTTAGATATTTAAAAGCTGTATATTACGTTTTTTTTTAATAAAAAGGACACATGTGTTAAGCAATTTGCTCAGCAATTACAACAAGATTATTTAACCAATCATGTACGGTTTTCAGACCACGTGCCCATACATGTACAAAAAACAAGCCACGTGCCCCTCCATGCCCCAGAAATCAATTGAATCATAATATTGGCTCCAGTTAGCAGGGATCAACAAAAATACAATTTTTCATTGTGTTCTTACGAAACACGCCCGCCTGAAGAATACATAAATATGGAACTTTATATCTAGAGGTGCGCTCGTGATAGTCTTCGCCAATGCCTACTATATGAAGTCAAGAATGTATTGGCTGTCAGTCCACAAGTCTGTCCGAATAAGAAATGCACATATTGTATATAACTAATTTGATACATGTTGCTACATTTATGATAAATTATTTCACATTAAACTTACTTTCTTCGTGTAATACAAATCAAACATTAAATTCTGTAAAGTTCATGTTGCCCTTTTTTAAGAAGTAAAAATGTATTCGTTTCTAAGAAATAATATGCCTTTGAGTACACAAAGGGGCCATATTTCATTCTAAATACATGCATTTGACAGTGACCTTCGATGCTATTTCCAAAGACATTTAAAAATGCCTTCAGAACTTTGATGTTACACAAAATATTTAAACCAAGAACTTTTTAAGTTAACAGTTATCAATCAGTCAAAAACCCATGGTTGACTTGTTAGCCTTTGACAGTGACCTCCAATTATGATCACAAAAAGAAGTTTAGGTTTCAAATAGACAACTTAAGAATAAGTACTGAAGTTTGATGTTTCACTGATTTTTAAAGTTCAGAGGGCCATAAGTTAATAATCAAAATGCATGCAAGACTTATGTGCCTCGATTTTAAAGACATGCGTAAATGTATGTCGTTGTACAAAAAGTTGCACGCTAAAATTTAGCCCATGCCAACACCTACTCCCGGGTGAGTTCGATAGCCCCGCTATCTTTCAAAAGGTCAAGCTAAAATTCGGTTATACATTTTTTGGATAAAATTTAGGTTTATAAATTAAGAATGTTAAATATTCAATTTAATCAATCTAATAAGTCTGGTTGGTAGTCAAGTGTAACGCTCATCTATTTAAGGGATTGTTAATGCACCCAACTTAAAGTAATATTACTGCAATTTTAGGAAAACCCCGTAATAAATTTCAGTTAAAACCCTCGTTATATAAAAAATTTATGTAACAAATTGATACAAACATGACATTATATCATCTGTATTTATAATCTTTTCCTCCATTTTTGGTGTCATATTCAGATTCTAAACGATGCAGTTTTACATATGTAAAGCATTAAGTTAAGAATGAGTAAAATAATCAGAAACAATATGTGAGAAATTTGTTATTTTTTCAATTACAATATTCTATCAAAAATACGCATTAAGAATTAAACATAATAACAAACAAGAGGACCACGGTGGCCTTAGATCGCCCGTATGAGACCCAATGCTAGAGAACATTTTTAATGCAAAACTAGGTAAATACATGTACCATTTAGATCAATATTAATTAATTGTACCTGAACTGTACCTAAGGTTCAACTTAGAAATCAAAGCTTAAACATTCAACAGAAGGCCAGTATGTATAGACAAACGTTTTCAAATTATACCACATATAAAACCATATATGTTGTCTAAATTATAACGTGTCATGTCGGTGCAATAATGAAAGTATCAAAGAGTGACCATTTTTCACCAAATGAAGTTGTTTATAAAGGACCTTGGTAGCAACAAAGAACTTAATTTTCTTTTTCACGTTTTCGTCCATTCATAAATATTTAGCAAGAATGATTTTATTACGGGGCAATAACTTAGATAAGTGTGCAATATTTCAGATTTAAATTGGATACAATGTATTTGCACGGGCGTAATGTTATAGTACATGCGTAATGTTTTAGTACGGGGTGCAATGTATTTCCTAGAGAAGAAACACACACGCACAATAAATATTCGAGTATTTTCCGGTGATTGTACTTAAAACGTGCACTTTTACATTAGACAACAATTGATCATATCTTATCATTAACATCTGAATCTGATGTTATCTCAGGAAATTTATTGTATGTTTTTATTACTGGTTTTGTAATTTAATATTTTAGCAGAGTTAATTATGTATCATATTTTAACCCATCTTCAACATTTGATAGGGTTAAGAGCGTATGTAATTGGAATTTTTTGCATTT